TTTTTTCCCCTCCCCTCCATGTTCCATATTCCTTATCAGATTAATTTTTATGGAACAGGAAACATTTTACAAGCAGCAGAGAGGCAGGTATCTGATTTGACAAGGGGATTAAGGAGCCAGCTCCTCCTGCTGCCCAAGGGGAGGATGGGCCAGACTAGGAAGAGGGTGGGACAGCCCACCTCTCCTGGCCCCTGCCCGAGCACCCCTGGGCCGGTTGGGTGGTGGTGGTGGAGGTGGAGGTGGGGTAGGGAGTGGAGGGAGAAAACTTCATTTCTAAAGTCTCAGTACCCCCGCTTCTGTCCCTAGAGAAAGGGTTTGGGTGCAGCCGGTGGTGGAGGTGAGCTGTCACATTTGATTCTTGCCATTCCATTGAGGTCTGAGGCTTCCTGTTCTGTCCCGAACTTGTTGGGAGTTGCCGGAGGCTAATGCAGCTTCCTGCTATCTTGCACAACCCACAGAAGCATCCCGGAAGACCTCTCACTCAGGTCTATAGTTTCGCTGACTTGAGCTTAGCTTTCCGTAGGAGTTTCTCTCCCCTCTGAGCTCCTCAATCCCCAAAGAACTCAAAGGAGGCCTCCAGCTGACCAGGCTCGGTCCTCGGCCAGGGGGCAGTGTTGTCTAAGGGCATTGAAGGAGTGTCACAGCTTGGAGAGGGTTCTGCTGGCGTTTAGTGGGGGAGGCCAAGGCTGTTAACTAAGCCTATCCCCGAAGGCACAGGATAAAGCCAGGGCCCCTGCCACCAAGAATTTCCAGCCCACTTGTGATCGTCCGCCCCTCGTGCTGAGGTTGATGACCCCAGCTCCCAGTGCCACCATGTCATGTCACAGCCCTTCTGTTTAAGTCATCTTCCTGCTTCTCAGATCTCTCCCCCCTCTAAGTTTGTGCTTTTGGTAGAAATTATTTTGAATTACGGGAGAGCGTTCTATGACCACACGCTCCAAAACTAAACCCACTGCCATGAGGCGGTGCCAAAGCATACCATCCCCCTCGGTCAGAGGACGGCTGCTCCCTAGGGTGCTAGGGTGCCAAGGCTGTCAGTCTTCACAGAACCAGACTGTCTCATCTGTCTCCCCAGAGGCAGCTGGGGGCTCGAGCTGCCGACCTTTTGGTTAGCAACCCAGTTTGTCACCACTCCCTTCCCCTGAGGCCGCCCTCCATGTTCTCTGAAGGGGCCCCAGAGAAACAGAAGCCCTGCCCGAGCCACACACGGTCTTATTTTTGCCCAGATCCGTCCTCTGGACGTGGGGATTCACGGGAGGAGAAGTCTTGTGGAATAAGACTGATAGTTCTCTATTGAGAGATGGCTGTGGGGGTGAAATGACAGAGTCCATATCAGTGTGTACCATCACGATGCTGCTGCTCCCGAGAAACCAGAGACCCTCTCTCTGAAGAGCTGACCTTTGGGAAATATTGTGCTTTGTTTGGAACACAACCGTCCAGTGTTGGCGTCTTCGCTGCTCCCTTGGTGGAGCGTCGACTAGGCAGCCCGAGGAGCGTGCAGCATGGAGGCGGCTCTTAGGCACGGGATGTGGGAGCGTTGGGTGTTTTTAGACCTTTGACTCTTCATACTGAAAGGAGCAAGACATAGCGCCCGCAGTCACAGCTGGTCCTTTCATCCTGTCCTGGTTGCCTTAGCCATTGTCATAAAGAAAACAATGTAAAGTGTTGGCAATGCAATGAGTCAAAACTGATGCTAATACGTAGAAAGGGTAGGACGGTCCATCAAGAAATAGAGCCGTGTAGGGAATAAGGGCCAATATTAAAAAGCCCACGGGCTCTTCCACGCATCCACAGTAGCCACGGAAAGACCTACTAGGAAAAGATCGCCTTTTGTATTGACAGAAATTACCCAGCATCCCTCTTTCAAGTGTGCAGCCTCTTGATGGAGAAAAGGGTCCTTTATTTTACTGAAGCACAGAAATGAAGTTTGTTAAGCAGCGAGTTTTATTCAAAGGCACACGCTGTGGCCATGGACGGGGCCATACGGTTATCGCTGTACTTGTGGGAGCAAGGCTCGGAGGGTCCAGTCGTTTCTTTGGGTCACGTAGCTAGTTCTCAGATCCCTTTCTTATTCAGCCACCAGACTCTTCCATCGTTCATCCCTGTGTGGGCATTCCTAATGAGGCATTTCTGGGGTAGCTGCTTTGATGCCATCCGGCTGTGGCTCTGCAGGATTTGGTAGTCACTGATTAGAGCAGTGGTTCTCAACCTTCCTAATGCCGCGACCCTTTCATACAGTTCCTCCTGTGGTGGTGACCCCCCAACCGTAAAATTATTTTCGTTGCTACTTCATCACTGTCCTTTGGCTACTGTGATGAATCAGGTGACTCCTGTGAAAGGGTCGTTCGACCCCCAAGGGGTCTCGATCCACAGGTTGAGAACCGCTGGATTAGAGAAACATTTCTCGCGACCATGTTAGGCAGAAGAGGTCTGGCTCTCTGGAGTTGGCCATCCATCCATCGTCTGGCCGTGCTGTCGTTACATTGTTTCTGAGATAGGAGCTGTGGGCTCCTCAGCCAGAGACGGAGGAATTTCATGGCCACTGTCACACTGCGGTTTCACAGGGCTTCATGCACGGGGGCGGGTGGGGGGGTTGGGGGATGGACTTCCAAAATGGACCATTGTATTTCTGTGATTCCAATCCAATGGATGGGGTTGGACCGATCCCCTCAGATTCCTCCAAAAAAAGATCGTCACATCTTCTGGGCTTTGGGAATTTGGACCTGCAGATGCTGCCCTCCTAGCACAGCCAATGGCGGGGCTGTGTCCTATGCCGGCGGCAGGCCATTCCTTCCACCCTAACCGCCATCCCTCAAAGCTGGGCTTGCCTACGGTTTACAGATGAGAAAACAAGCCGAGAGAGGTTCAGAGACCTACCCAAAGGCCATACAGCGGGTTACTGGTGGAGCTAACATTTGCACCCAGATGTGCCCGAGGCTAGAGCCCTGGGTTGTATAACCACTGTAGTCCCCAGCCAGGGCTGCCTAGTAATTCTTAGATCCCTGCTGCTGGCCTCTTAAAAAGGGAAGAGGAAGAAAAGCATTGATTATTATCCTGCACCCTGCAAATTCTGTAATTTTGTTAGATCAGCCTCAGCTAGCTTTTGACTTTGGAAGGAGCTTGGGGGAAATGCTAACCTTTTTTTCTTGTTTGTTGTTGATGTGTTTGTTCAGACTCCTTTGGCGAATGCACATTTGTTTTGAAACCAAACCTGTCTTTCTTGCCTACATTTCAGTCAGAACTAAGACATGGTCCGTTTTACTATATGAAGCAGCCACTCACCACAGACCCTATTGATGTTGTACCACAGGATGGACGGAATGATTTCTACTGCTGGGTTTGTCACCGGGAAGGCCAAGTCCTTTGCTGTGAGCTCTGTCCCCGGGTTTATCACGCTAAGTGTCTGAGACTGACATCGGAACCAGAGGGGGACTGGTTTTGTCCTGAATGTGAGGTTAGTTCCTGATGGGTGAATGAATGCGCTCCCTGACGCACTGCCTCTCCTCTCTCCCCCCTTCTGTTCCTAACTCCCCGAGCATCCAGCCTCGGGGAAGGAGGCAGCTGTCGCCTGCCACTGTATCTCCTGGCCCACCCCCTTTTGGGGAGCAGCTTCAGGCTTGTTCTCAGCACGGCAGCTCTTGGAGAGACAGTCCACTTGGATGCTGCTTCCGGATTCGCGTGGGCCTTGGTGCCTTTTTCTGAGAGCTGAGCTCATCGCCACGTCTCCCTGTGTGGAAGGTTTCAGGAGTCAACCTGAGCCCGAACCGTTCATGTACCTAGACCACGTCTCTGCAGACGTCCGTCCTTGTGGACGTGCCCCCGCTGCACCGGTGGGGGCCACTGGATTCTTTCAGGAAGCAAGGATTTGGCCCCCTGCTGATGGCGGATTCTGCTTTGAACAAAAAACAGCCACACCGTCCAGTCTTTTCAAAAAGACATTCCAAGAACCGACATGAAATTGCATCCAGTGTGTTAGAAAATGGACGCTTCAGAGAAAATAAACCAAGGAGGGGGGTGGAGGAGGGCCTGCAGAGGGTGCCAAGTGTACCTGTTTTGAAACGGGAGAGGCCAAGGTAGGCCTCATGAAGATGGGAGAAAGCCCTGGAGGAGGTGAGGCGTGTGTGAGAGCCAGGCAGCCACCTGGAGGCCCAGGGACCGGCAGGTGCAGTGTGGAGGGAGCAGCACACCTGGCGAGGTCGGGGAATTGTGCGCACCGCATTGGAACAAAGCCGAAATGTTCATGAAACCAACTATGAGGAGCGTCCCCTTTTCTAAGGGGGCTTCAGTTCTTGGCAACCTCTACGTTCCTGTGCTCGACCCCAAACTCGGAAAGCACAAATGATGTCTACGGAATCATTCAATCCGGAATGTCGCTGAGCTCCCAAGATAAATGGGAATCCGAGCTCACAGGGGAAGCTTTCTACACGTGAGATGGGAAGGGATAAAGGCCAGCTTTGTCACAGCGTGTCTGGTGCAGCTTTTATGCAGGACAAGCAGAAACACACGATCGTCTGGCGGCGTCTTTGGGGATTCTCCGTCTCTTAAGGTGGAAACGATGGCTGCTGGTTCTCCAGGTTCCTGGACACATGTGTTTTGCTGGGTGGTGTGTTAAAGAGCCCAGCGCCATCCAGCTACGTGTGGGAAGCTGCCTCCTTGTATTTTCTTTCGTCATGACTAACTCTTCCAAATGATTTGATAGGATATATGGAGAGAGCTGTTCGTTTCGGATCAGCTTGCGGCAAGCAAGAGTTTCTGATGAAAGGAGGCTTAAAACCTAGGGCTCTAGTCTATTAACAGCTTGTGTAGAAAGATGGCGAGGCACGATGCAGTTGGTTCACAGCTCACAGGCCTCTCCCGCCTCTCCATTCCATTGTTCTCACTGCTTTGCAAAGGGAATGGTTCTCTGTAGATTAGCCAGTAAGCCAGTGCTCACTGGACTCTCTGTCCCTGTCAAGAATTGTGAATTTGAAAAGGTATAGGAAGGTGCTCTGGGGTGACTGGCGAGAGAGACCTAGTCACAGGAAGATGTTTTTCAAGGTGGTGGTGGGAAAAAAAGGGAAATTGTTCACAACAGATTAGTAAGTAAGCACCTGCAAACTTGTGCTTACCTGACTTATGGTTATGAGATAGTTGCTGTGGGTTCAGGCATCTCCCCTGAGCAGAACACTAAAGTAAGGGCATCTCCTCATTTTCCGGTTAGCCAAGCAGGGAAAGGTCTTTTTGTGCTCTTTGGTCACGATTGGCTTACCAGTTCCCATGGGAAAAAAGCAAGCTTGAGATTTTGCTGGTCTGGTCATTTTAATCTAAGGTTGTCAGCTGGGAAGGTGCGGGGGGCCCAGAAGGAATGACGGTTGAGCAGCCACCCAAGTGTTGGCCATGGATAGTTAGCTGGGAACTCACTAGAACTCACGCCACGCGTGTCCTCTCTGCCTGTGGTTCGTGTCTCGTGGGTATCTTGTAGGGGTGATTTGGTGGGGCAGTCAGCATGGACGATGGGATGCTGCAGGATCTGGTAGCTAAGCAATTAGGCGTGAATGTTGCGCTCAGTTCTCAGCTATCAAGTGACGCCTATGTTGCCTCAACAACCAGCCAGCCAGAAACCTGGCATTTCTTGTTGGAGACCTGGGAGGTACTAAGGATTCGGGTGCGGACATTGGAGGAAGCTTCTCGGCTCTCCGTGCCCAGATGGCGGAAGAGTGTGTACTGGCATCCAGAGAAGGTTCTTTGTGCGTTGGTTGGTGGTGCCTAGAAAGAGCCTGGCGATGCAGTACCAGACTTGCCTTCCATCCGGCTCCAGACATCTCAGGCCGCTTCTCTGACGGATCGTCCCTCATGAAATCGCGGCTACTGCTCATGGAGGCAGGCAGCCGAAGTGCCCTTGGCACGGTTTGCCACAATGTCAGAATGACCTCACCTGCGTGACGATGGAGAATGACGTCATAGTTATTCTTAGTCCAGCACCCTCCTTTGAGTTCTCCTTCTGCAGTGTCTGATGGCCAAACTTTCTGTTGATGACGTCATTGGGTTCCTGCCTTGTCGGTTCCCCGAAAGACAGGTGCTCCCAGCACCTCAAGAGGATCAAGAGAAGAATCCAATCTGTGTGTCATGAAGGCACCCATGGCTTTTCCTCTCGCATCCCCTTTCTGGAAATCCCCGGTGGAGATGAAGATTTCTCAGGCCTCCGCCCCCTCACGGCATTCTCCCATCACGCCCGCTTCTTGAGCTGAACACGCTTCCGAATGCCGTACACGGATCGATGCGCCTCTTCATTGCCACCCACTGATTCGGTCCAAGGGGGCCAAGTAGATGGGAGCCCCTGCCGAGCGAAACAATTAATCTCACTTAGATGGGAATTTTTTTTTTTTAATGCACTTGCTTCCTGGAAAGAATAGCCTGAAAGGGAAGCCCCCACCCGGATCTAATTGAGGCTCAATGACCTGTTTTTCTCACTGGGCATCTGTGTGGTTTTTGACTTGTAGAAAATCACCGTGGCCGAGTGCATCGAGACTCAGAGCAAAGCCATGACCATGCTCACCATCGAACAGCTGTCTTACCTGCTCAAGTTCGCCATCCAGAAAATGAAGCAGCCGGGGGTAAGAGAACGTCCCTCTGGTTCAAGTGGAAACGCACACGGTGACTTGCTGGTTTGTTCTCTGTACAGTCTTGTTCTCGGCAGCCTTGGTCTTTCGGGCACGTGCCCACGGGCGTTCGATCCACTGGCATACCCTGATTTGAACATTGGGAAATTCAGCTTAAAAGGTGGCATGACGTTTGGTTTCTTTTTCTTTTTGTCCTTTCGTTTCTACCCCCAGTTGATTTTTTTTTTTTTTTAAAGACAGCCGTCTGTGTCCCAAAGGGCTCAGATGGCCACAGATAACAACCCATTTTGAATCGGGAAATGACAGAGGTGGGGAGTGGGGGAGGGGCTGCCCGTCTCACGGGCTCTGGAGTGGAACTCCATCCCCCATTGGGGAAGAGTAAGCTTTGTGTCTCCTTCCCACGGGAGCTAGGCACCGTCCATTTTAAGGACAGCTGAGCCTAACCCAGTTTCCCTGTACCTGGGGTCTGATGATAGCCTTGCATGGGGACCTCAAACAGTGAAATTCCCAGAGAAGGGAGGCTTGAGAGGCGGCCTTGGTCCCTTAACGTCCCCTGTGAAGCAGGGCCACTATATTCTTGCCTGCTTCCAGGGCTCCACTCCATCCTGCTGGCAGGGTGGACACACCCCAGCCCTGTCATAGCCATTGTGCTGTGTGCATTTCTGGGTAAAAATATAAGGTGACCAGACGTCCCGCTTTTGGTGGGACAGTCCCGATTTTTAACAAATTTTCCCGTGTCCCGTGGCACTTTTAAAAAGTCCCAATTTTTTGGAAAGCATGCACGACAAGCTAGGCTATTCAGTTTTCGGCTGCCATGTGGCTACTTTGCCAGGATAGGAGTTTTATCAATGGTGTCTCGCTTTACCAATGTTAAAATCTGGTCACCTTAGTAAAATACCCAGTCTCTCCTGAAACATCATCGGTTAGCAGTGGAGACCCTCCTCACTTGCGCTCACTGCAGGAACCACAGGGTGGAACAGTTTGTTCTACCCCTTATTGTTCCAGGGTCAACTGTGTGAGGCTACCCCCCCCCCCCAAATACTAACAGAAAATCCAATCAATATAGCATGGTGTGTTTCCTACAAGAATCTAAAGAAAATGACGTGTGGCGTGCCCTTTCCAAATGTGCATGAAGACACGTGCCCTTTGGTTGGTGAGCCTTGAGTTTGCCAAGTCAAGTGACTATGCAGGAAGGGAGCTGGTCACACCTGAGTCACTCCTAGGCGCTGGCTTTGCGGAGGTGTTTAGATACTGGATATTCTGGTGTGGGAAACCAACCCAGAGCGAGCCAATTGGCTGCTGAGATGGAAGCGGAGGTGTAGAATAACCTCCAGGTAGTGGTGGGGTGTGCTCGCTCTGGGTAATTTCTAAGCCAGGGGCCAAAGGGTTGCTTCCTGACTTTTAGCTTCAGCAGTGTTCCACTTAAGGCAGCTAACCAGAAGCGTAGATTCATGTAGACCTGCCACCACTGTCCAGTAGAAACCCCAAACTAAGATCGAAGAAGGCATTACTTTCATTGTTGGGTCTAACCTTGGGCAGAAAGCCATGGATTTTTGTTGAAGCAACCCTTGAACCTAACAGTGGCCCAACTTTCAGTCGGGATGCAAGAGGTGACCGGTGGGCAGCCCACTTGCTTGAGTATTATCTGATACTTCATCAAACCTTACAGGTTTCTCAGCACGTAAATACCTCCCGTCCCTGCATGGGCCTTGTGATTTGAGCTGATTCAAGTCGGGTGTAAGACAGTGAGGTCAACCAGGATGAACAGTGATCATGCTGGCAGACTGCCACACAGACCCTGTTCAGAAATAGGCTGGCTTCTCTGAGGAGGAGTACAGGCCTCCCTCACTGTCTAAAGGTTCCCCTCTCTATAAAGTATCTGTTGGCATTCAGAAACAAAAACGCATTTCCAACCCATAGCGACCCTCGTAGAGTAGAACCGCCCTGTAGACTCGGTCTTTACTGAAGCAGGCTGACACCCCTTTCTCTAGCCGGGTGGATGTTGGCAGCTGAGCACTTAACCACTGTGCCACCAGGGCTCCCTTTGTTCACGCTCAGGGGAATATTAGTCTGCAGTGTCATCCCTAAGGGAGCCCTACCCCACCCAGAGTCCATTCTGAGCACAGGCTGTTGTAGCATCTGCACGAGCCTTGGTCAGTCGGTGTGCCGTTCTTGGCCCATTCTTAATACAAAGGAGCATAGGCCTGTCACTTGGGGGTGTTGGTGGCCGTCGGTGTTGTCGAGTTGGTTGGTACTCATGGGGACCCTTCGTGCCACAGAGTGAGACGCTGCCCCGTCCTGTGTCATCCTCAACATTCTTATGTTTGGGTCTCTTGTGGCAGCCACGGCCTCAGTCCATCCTGCTGATGGCCACGTCTTGTTGATTGACCACTTGGGTAGACATTCAAAATGAGACAAAAGCCAGAATGCAGCGGGGGCCCAAGGTGACCCAGGACTGAAGAGAACGAGAAGTTTGCCTGATTTGGACCCCCCCAGGGATATTCTTTGTGACATCCTTTGTGGCTGTTGGGTGTCGTTGGCCCGATGATTTGGGGTTTGTCATGACGCCGTGTGACTTGAGTTGAATTGCCCCGTCGGGCTGGGCAGGGCTGGGACTTGTTAGGAGCAGATGGCCACGTCCTCCTCCTGAAGAGTAGCTTGTGGGTTCGAACTGCCAACCTTTTGTTTGGAAGCCAAGCCTGTTCACCTCTGCAGTGCCCGGGCTTCTTGGGGCACCCTTTAGAACCAGATGCCCGTCTCAGTGCGGGAGGCCCTGTGCTGGGGACGAGAGCTGGTCTTCTTCCTCAGTGACGTGTTTGTGTCTCCGTGTGCATCTCCTCTTTTGTAGACGGATGCATTCCAGAAGCCCGTCCCGCTGGAGCAGCACCCCGACTATGCAGAGTACATCTTTCACCCCATGGACCTTTGTACATTGGAAAAGGTTGGCCTTCACCCAAGCACCTCGCACTGTAACCCACAGTAGAGTGGTCCAGGTGCCTCTGAGGATCCCACCTCACGCTCTGTGGCCTGGCTCAACTTAGATTTCTCTGTCTGTTCCCCACTCCATTTGAACTTGGACGCAAGAATTCCCTTTGATCCCTTGGCTTCTCCTTTCTAACATTCTTCCAAGGATCACAATGGAGCGTTGACGTCCACGGACTAGCTTCTAATACTTCCATTGCAGGGGGCCCAAGCTCTTTACCTGGAAATGGCAGTAGCTTCTAAGCACGAGTGGTTGATTGGAGACCTTCCCCACCCGCTTCTTGGAGTTGCCATTGAGTGTAGCAGGAAGGAAGCAGGGGACATGAACTGTCTGGGTTAACAGTGAGCAGTACACAGGTGGCTGCTGAGCTGTTTTGAGAATCACATGCTAAAAGTCCATGCTTCACATTATACCTGTAATGCTTTCGACCGTGCGCGGGACCTCGGCGCCCCTTGGTTACTCTGCTCACTGCTCCCTAATCTGGCTAATGGAGAAGTGTCAGCATCAGGAAGCCCTCTTTCCTGCCGTCTCCCCGATGCTCCACAAACAGTAATCTCATGCACACTCATGGTCCGGGGAGAAAAGGAGGCATTTAAATGAGAAAGGATCCCAAATCCTAGCTTTTAAGCCTTTATAGCTTTGGGTGTCTAAGTTCCTGAACGTGACCTTGTGAGGGTCCCCTTGGGGACACAGGTCATCCCTTCCACTAAGTTCTCACTAGGCTTACATAAACCCGCACCAGTGATGAATGAGACATGCAGGTACAGAAAGGTCCCGCGGTTCCTTGATACCTGATAGTGCTGTCCGATGAGAACATGCCATCCATGCATCATCCTAGGGCGACAGGATAGCATCGTGGGAGGGGAGGGTGGAAGAGGGCGCCTTCATTTGGCAAACGGTGTGGGGACACAGCGGTCGTTGGCGGTGGCCTGCACAGACTTGTCAGTGACGGTGCTCCGTGGTCTTCCCTCCCCAGAACGCTAAAAAGAAAATGTACGGATGTACAGAAGCCTTCCTGGCTGACGCGAAGTGGATTTTGCACAACTGCATCATTTATAATGGGGGTGAGTGGCTCCGCCCAGCCTGAGGGGAGAGAGTGTGATGGGCACGCTGCCTGGCCTCACACGCCGCCTTCCGAGCCGGGCACTTCCTCCTCCCCTCGGGCCCACCAGCCGAGACCCTTGAACAGAGACCACTGGTGGGTGCCCGGCGGGGCCGGTCCCTGTGTCGACTGAGGTGGGGCTGCCGCCAGAGTGCTTTGCCCTCTGTAGCTGGTGCTGCTGCCTGTGGCTGCCAGTCTTCAGATAAAAGCTGTTGAAGTAGAGGTTGTCTGAGTTCTCCAGGGCTGAGGTAGCAATGCCGCAGGGGAGTGGTTTAACTGATCAATGGATTCTCTCCGAGGTTCAGCAGCTACAAGGTGGAATTCTGGGGGCCAGCTCCAGGCCCTTTCAGAGAGCTCTGGGGGAAGGCTCTGGTTTCCTTCCGAGACTTGTGAGCCCACACGCTCCTTGGAGATCTCAGGGCAGGGACCCCTAGGTCGAGAGGATGCATTCTGCTCCCTGCTGTCCTTTCTTGGCGATAGCCAGGGGAGGTGCCCGCCTTCTGTCTCTGCTCCCATGTGTAATCACTTTCAGATGGCCAAAGAGATGGACTCACAATGTCACCTGACGCTGTGGATTGTGTCCTACCCAGTTAATGTAACTCGCACTCAGCCTGCTTCAAACCCACTGCCACGGGCCTGATTCCGACTCACAGCGCGCCTAGACAGTGTTTCTGAGGCTATAACTCTTCCTGGGAGCAGACAGCCTCGTTTTTTTCTCCTGAGGAGCAGTGGTGGTCTTGAACCGCCGACCTTGTTGGTTAGCAGTCCGATGCTTATCCAGAATATCTTTATTAACGGCATGATGTGTCATTAGCTCTTTCTTCGGGGTAGTGTCCACATTTTTCGCCCATTTAAAACATTGGACTGATTATGCTTTTAAAATCTAGATAGCAATTTTATTAAATAGTAAATTTGATAGGGATTTACATTTCAGATCATCAACGTGTGGTATTCAACAGTTTAAACGGCTTGTCGAACGTTTTTTGTTTTTTGTGTGTGAGTGAGACAGTGAGAGAGTGAGACAGAGTGAGTGAGTGAGTGAGACAGTGAGAGTCGAGAGTTTTTATTATCAGGGTTGCAAGGGGAGTTCTTCACCTTGTGGATAACTGTCTTTTCTACATCCTTTTCAAGGGCTTTGAGGATTGAGTGGGTTTGAGACACAAGTGGAGGGGGTTTCCACTTTCCCTCCTGACCCTGTCGCCATCTGGCCAGGTAGACCCTAAGGGGCCCTGCCCACGCCATTTCTCCAGCCCCAGGACCTCTCCGGGACTACCCTCTGCTGGAACTCTGTCCCTGGATGAGAAGTCCCTTCCCCTTCGGTCCTCTCAGCCTCTAGACCTGCGACGTGTCTAGAGCCTCCCAGGACAGCCCTGACCACACTTAACGGAGCGTGCGGCTTTTCCTGGTGTCGATCATTCACCAGAGTGTAGGCTCTGTAAGGACAGACCCTCTTATTTTCAAAGCCAGCCAGAAATGGTTAGCAAATTTCCATTTTCTGAGAATTCCATCCAAGTTCAAAGACAACCTCTTGTTGACTAGTTTAGCCCCAAGGAGCAGCTCAGCTCCTCCGCTCGTTAACTGAAGAATGGTCTCCTGAAACGGGGACTCCTTTCAACCCCGGCTTACTCCGGTCTCCAACGGGGATGTCCAAACCCATTGCCCAATGTGACTTCCTGTGGCATTGGCCCGAAAATGGAGGTGAAGCACCGAACCTAGGAGAGCTGCGTGTTTCAGGGTCTGCGCTCCTTTGAAAACACTGCTTGAACTCTCTGGTGGGGACCATGGCTCCTTTAGGGTAGGAGTGCATTTTTCAAACCAAAACCTGTAAACTTTTGGCTCCTAACGGGAAACCCGCACAGAAGATTTCTCTTCCGAGGGGCCGTCACTGCATCGTTTTGGAGATGCAATACAAAAGTTGGGCTGGTATTGAAAGCCCCTTGCTTTTGGCTTTCAGCCTTGGTAGACCTGATCCTGGGGTCAGCGAGGGGAGAAGTTGTTTGGGCGCATTGGCCCAAGGTGGATGCTGCTGTTTCTCCCTTTGAACTAATCTTATTTTTCCCGTTTCCTCAGGAAATCACAAATTGACGCAAATAGCGAAAGTAGTCATCAAAATCTGTGAACACGAGGTAGGTGTTTCCCTCTGAGCCGCCGCCCCTTTTGAACGTCACCAAGAGTGAAGGGCCGGGCGGCTGAAGGCTCTGTTCTAGGAATGGCCCAGTGGGCATCTGTGGTGGCTGGGGTCATGCTGGCTTAGGTGGCAGTCTGCCTCCCGAAAGGATCCCAAATAACCAAGCTCACTGCCATCAAGTCAGCGCTGACTTACAGCGACCCCACTGTGAGTTTCTGAGTAGAAAATCCTGTTTTCCTCCCTCGTTGAGTGGCTGGTGGTTTTGAACTGATGACCATGCGGATGGCAGCCCAACGAGTAACCTAACCACTCCACCCCCAAGGGTTCCTCCCTTAAGGAAAGTGGAGACGTGGAACTGGGGCTCTGGTGTGTTACGCAGCACACGGGGCCGAGCCCGGAGATAAAGGGCTTGCAAATCCCCGGCAGTGTTTGTTCTTCTACCTTATGGCTTCCTCAGACACAGCCATTGTGAGATTTCCTGGTGGCAGAGAGCGAAGTCCTACCTTCTGACCTTGGCCCGTCATCTGGGCCCCAAACCTGGTCCCATTTGATCGCTTGCAGAAGATGTTTGGGTTTGGATAAGGTTTTGGTCTCAGCTGGTTCTCAGCGAGCCCTGGACATCTGTCCCTCTTGCAGATACCCCTAGTTCTGATGGTGGGGGGTCATAAGGGCCCTCTTGGACTCGAGAGCCCTGGGGGTCGTCATGGCTTAGGGCTGGGCTGCAGGCAGCAAAGCCAACAGGGAGGCCCACTGAGAGGAGGGGAAGCCCAGGCACATGCGCCTTCATTATCTTTTTGTTCAGTTTTGGGATGATACGCACATAAAGCATATATGGATATTGCCAGGATATGTCTGTCTCTCCCACTCCTCTCTACATACGCATTCATCTATATGGTTTTAAATATCTTTTATCATTTATTCTGAGTATATGTTTTCTTACAACTGCAGCATTCCCACGTTCGGATGCAACCATTTAAATCAGTTATCGCCCTGGTGTGAACTCAGGCAGTCCCGCCTCTGCCTCCCGGTCCTCTGCTGATGTCTGAGTATGATTGTTCGCCAGGCAGTCACCAGGCCAGAGGCTGTCAACCTGGAAGCAGCAGGTTCCAGCAAGTGGAGCCTGATTGTATTCTCTTCGATTTGTAGCACTTCATACACAAATGACCCGGGTTATTTGCCTGGTTTGGTGCCCACTGCCTTTGCTGATAGCAGGAGTGGTGGTTGTAGAGGTCATGACGGAGCGTCTACACTGTGTTTGGCACATGGCATGAAGATGGGAGGAAAAGACAGGATGCTGATGATAAGGTGATAGGGAGCAGTGTCGTGGTGAAGTCTGCGTGTTTTGTAACCCAGCTTCCAGGGTTCCAATCCCAGCTGACCACTGTGTTAGCTGCATGACCTTGGCTTGCTGACTTGACTTTTGGGGTCTTTCTAGCTAAGCTGGGGATAACCCCAGTTGCACCTCACAGTGTGCTTAGGAGTGTTACATGAGTTACTTTAGGTCGTCATTTAGTAGACCCACTTAGGATGATTCCAGTGCATTCCGTGGTCTTTACTAAGTGTTCCTTAATGGAATGACAGCTCGGGCCTCGGTCTTTGCATTTATTGATGATACTTAATTCACACTGCCATGCTTGTTATGGATGAAACCTAATTCTCATCTCGGAGCCCTGGTGGCCTAGTTGTTTTGCTTTGGGATGCTCACCTCAAGCCAGCAGTTTGAAACCAGCAGCTATCTCCAACCTTCTTCTGGACAAAGATGAGACTTTATACCGTCGTGAACAGTTAGTCTCAGGAATCCCAAGTTCTACCCTGTCCTATGGGGCTGCTGGGAGTGGCAACCTCCTTACTGGCAGTGAGAGAATTTTCATCACAGCGGAGGTGGAAGCGGTTGCCCTCCTTCCCATTCTCTAGCTGAGGATGTGGGAGGCCATGCAAGAGAAGCGCCGTGCCCTAAAGGCTTCCAGCTAGTCAACCCTCAGTCTGCGTGTGGACTTCAGACGGGGTTCTCGGGCCTTGGCGGCGGTTTACTTTCTCAAGAAGGAGGACCATAAACACAGTTGGGGGAACTTACAGAGAGCTATCAATGGGGACCGTGTGGGAACTATGGTGGTCATGAACTCTTTTCGACAGTATCTTACATAGAGAGAAATTGGCAAGTAGAGGCCAATGGGACTGACATGAGTTGAGGAGCTCATGTCAGAGGAGGCCAAATGTATAGTCTGCAAACTCTGGTCAGGGGTTCAGATTTTGTTGTTAGCATAATGTGGGGCTTCCCCACCCTCCGCACCGTGGGCATTTTGGGCGGGGCAAATCTGTGCTCTGGGGGCCTATTTTGCAGCCCTCTGGGCCTCTACCCATGGGATGCCTGTCTCATACCCCCACACCCTCAGTGTGACAATCAGAAATGGTGACCAGATGACCTTTGGGGTGAGAGTGGGTGTGAAACAACCCTGTCCTCGTAGAGGGCCACTAGGATTGCGGGAGCTGCTAACCAGGAGAGGCCTGGGGTCAGGGGTGTGAGTTGAAAGATGGCTGTGGTCTGTGTGGAGCGAGAGCCACCCTGGGAGGCAGAGTGGAAGCTGGGTACCCCGGTGGGAAGTCAGCTGTTGCACTGGTCCTGGGAGAAAAGGTGGCAGCTTGGCCTCGGCTGGAAACGTGGCTGGCAGGAGGCGTTGGCTCCTTCTCTTCCTAAGGAACTTTGCGTAGCTGCCTTGACCTGTCAGCATTTTCAAGCATGTGTTGAGGACCTCCAGCCTGGACGGCACCCAGGATGACACCTTCTAATACCTTTCTGCTTTACAGATGAATGAAATCGAAGTGTGTCCCGAATGTTACCTAGCTGCTTGCCAAAAACGAGATAACTGGTTTTGTGAGCCTTGTGTAAGTTGGACTTCTTGCTTCACTCCACCCTCTGACACCTCATGCCCGGACACAGCTGTACCCCGTGGCCGTTGTTGCCAGGTGGCCGATGCGTTTGGAAGTTAGTGAGGTGTTTGAAAGGATTTTTTATCCCCTCCCTAATAAGATCGAATGTAAGTCATCCAGGTCAGCATCACCTCTAAGACTCAAGGTAGATACCCATGGCAGAGGCCTGATGGGGCAAACTTGTCTGAGCAAGACCTGCAGGGCTGAATGAGAAGGAGCTCAGCCAGAGGAGTGGGAGCACGTTGTCCCAAAGCAGTGGGCACGCTGTTGACATCCTGGCCCGGGTCTCTCTTGGAGGGTTGGGAATGCCTCCCTGGATTCACTCTGCTTCTTGGGAACCAGGGGGTCACCTTAGTGCGGTTTCTTCAGGATCTGCATTTTCCAAACGGGTGCTCTGACAAGAGAAAGGCGATTGGGCAATCGGAGCAGCGTTTCCATCTACCCCTGCCTTTGGAGATGACCACTAGGAGAGTTCGATGCTCTGAGTTGCCTTTGATAAAAAGTGCAAGGCCAGTTAACATCGATTCTGCCTGACTAGTTCTCAGCTGAGCACCAGAACCGTGCTCTGCAGGGTGGTTCAGTGGTTTTTTTGGGGGTGTGGGGGAGTCGATTATCATGTCTTTTCTTCTGCGCCTTTCGGCTGCCCTTGGGCCCTCAAACATTGTGGTGCAGCAAGCTGAGTGCGTTCCCTGTACCACCAGGGTCTTCGCATAAACAAGGCAGCTGATTCTGGCTGCAGTGATAGGCTTGGCACAGGGCACATTGAAGACTCCGTTACTGTGGACTTCCGGCATAGCCAGGTCCCTGGTGCCCAGAAAGGTGCAACCTGTAGCCACCCAGGTCATCGTAAGTGGTAGGCAGGGGCAGGATTTGAGCTCTTCCCTTCCTGACCTTACCATCGACGCCCTTAGAAGAGACCCTGCTTGAAGCGATCGTCTCTGCCCTGTGGCGTGGGGCCGGCCCCTGGCTTGCCTGCATGAGGCTCCCCCACTGCGCTGGGCTCGGGTATCTCACTGTGAAACGCAGACAAACCCTGGATTTTGTTTCTCTTTTCCTAGAGCAATCCGCATCCTTTGGTCTGGGCGAAACTCAAGGGCTTTCCGTTCTGGCCTGCCAAAGCGCTGAGGGACAAAGATGGGCAGGTGGATGCCCGTTTCTTTGGACAACACGACAGGTGGGCCTCGAGAGTCACCATCACGCGGTACTTTTCCCGGAACCCTTGGAACCTGTCACTGGACAGGCAGGGAGCAGGGCATGGCTGTTAACTTCGGTTCTTGTCGCGCCCTGGCTGGCACCGAGCGACCCCGCCCCTGTGGGCTTCTGGGACTGGAACTGTTCACTGGACTACAAAGCCCCGCCTTTCTCCTGCAGACCCTGCGGGTGGCAGCCCAGCCACGCCCCCACAGGGCAGTTCCCTCCCCGCTCTTTATCCCACAGTCTAAAAGGCCTTCCCGGGCTTGTGTGGAGCCTGCGCATGCGTGAGGCTGGGTCTGTGGGGACTGGATAGGAGGAGCCTTGCCCCGGGGCCCTGTGGATGAAGCTACCATGGGGTGGGCTCGGCGGCTGGTGCAGGACAGCTGGTCTTTGCCTCTCTCAGTTGCATTTTCCGGAGGGCATTGATACCGCCGTGCAGACTGCTTTTCAAAATGATGCTGTCAGGATCGGTTCAGAAAGATTTCCCCAGCTTGCCAGGAAATGTGATCGTTTGCCGGGGACTTCCCGCCCGCCAGCCCCCTTCCCCCTGAAGCTGTGAGGGAAATTACAAGTGATGCTATTTTGACAGGCAGGGGAGCCTCCCTCCCAGCCTCTCTGCGCTCCCCGCACACACCGCACAAGGCATGATTCCAGCATTCCAGCTCCTAGCCGCTGCCCTTACCAGTGGAGCCCCGAGAACGACCGGTTGGGGAATGAGTGGCCCATAGGATCTTGCATCTCTGACGCAAGTTATGTGCGGCGCCCCCCCTCCCCTTTCAAAGCCCCGCCACGCTGTTGAGAGAGCGTATCAGTGTTGGAGGGGTGACCATTTAAAACACGGATGCTGAAATTAGACTCCCACAGGGAGAGAGACAGTCAGGTGGGTGGGCACCCTTTTCAGCAACACCAGAATCTGAAATCCAGCTCTCTCTGCTAATGTTTTGCTCACTGTTTGGCAAAGCAAAGCTAGGATTCCAAAATCACCCTGGGCACTGGGGCAGGCTCGGGGAGAGAAAGACTGGACAGGAGTTCAGTCAGGAGTTTGGTGGGAAGCGCTGCACTGTCCTTGGTTTGGAAGTTCTTTGTAGGAAAATCTTTCTGAAATACACCCATTCACCTGGTGCTCAGGTGGCGAGCAAGCCTGTGGGCCTGGGAGACACCCTCGCTCAAAGGGCCTAGAAAACTCACTGCCCTGCAGTCGCTGCCGACTCCTAGTGATCCTGTAGGGCAGGGTAGACTTGTCCCTGAAGGTTCCCGAGACGTTAACTACTCTTTATGGGTATAGAAAACCTCCCCTTTCTTCCTCGGCAGGGCTAGTTTTGAACTTGTGACCTTGCAGTTAGTAGCCCAATGCGTAAGCCACGCAGGACTGCCCTAAGATCCATCCTAGAGGAGGTCAATAGTGCATGGGCCAGCCAGGAGCTTTCAGATCAGGAGGGAACGGGCCGTGAGGTGTTGGGGTGTGGGCTGAGGGACCAGCAAGAGCAGAGTAAGGTGAGTGGACAGCTGGGGTGCGAGGAGGGAAGGGAGGAGCTACGATGAGGGGCGGGGCAAGGCATCTGTAAGCAGGCTAGCTTGCGGGGTGTGTGCCCAGTGTTTCGAAGGTCATTCTCACCAGTAGAACGCAGCTTGGGGACGCCGAGGGAACAGATGGACACGGGGATGGGCAGTTCTCAGAGTCAGGGAGACACCCCCACCCGCCTGCTCGGAGTCAGGGAGACACCCCCACCCACCTGCTCCGAGTCAGGGAGATGCCCCCCCCTCCCCCCTCCCACTCACAGCTTGGACCCCGCTACATGCAAAGTGGGCTTAGATCAGTGGTTCTCAACCTGTGGGTCTCGACCCTTTGGGGGTCCAAACAACCCTTTCATAGGGGTCACCCAGTTCATAACAGTAGAAAAGTGACAGTGATGAAGTAGCATCGAAAATAATTTTATGGTTGGGGGTCACCACCACACGAGGAACTGTATGAAAGGGTCCCGGCATGAGGAAGGTTGAGAACCACTGGCTTAGATGAACAGGGCTATTCAGGGGCCTGGCTCCCCCAGAATGTGACTCTGGATTGGAGCTGTCAGAAGTGGGGCTCCTCCTGTGTCTGTGGGAAAGCAAACAGCAGGAGTTTGTTGGGCGATGGGAAGCAGACCCTGAATTCAAATGTAATTTATAGAGACCCCCTTAAGTCAGAAATGGGACAGATCGAGACCAGTCATCCTGGTGAGGGAGGCCACCGGCACGAGGCCATAACAGTGTCTGAGGGGGGGGGTCACAGCCACTCGGCCATTGAAATGGGACACAGAATAAAGGAAGCTTTCGCAGGGTCCTGACGGGGGTTGGGGGGTTCGGGGGGAAGAGATCAATACCTCTCTGTCTCCAGGAAGAGGTCCCAAGTCTGGAGGAAAGGAGGGATCTGGATGTGTACCTGACTGCAGATTAGACAAGCTTGCAAGTGAGGGTCTGGCCCTCTGACCAAGGCAGTAAACCAGACGAGACCCCAGTGCCCCCAATGCCACAAGGGCACGCCCAGGCAGGTCCCTGAGGGCCAGGTTGCTCCTCCCTGATCTGGCTAGGGAGTGGTGGAAATCCACTTCCAAACACACTTCCAGAGGGACCAAGCTTTTCACTCCCACTTGTTAATGGAGCTCACAAGTGGATCCAGGGCTCCCACTGTTAACAGCCGCCTTCTGCACACCTAGGGACTGGAATTCAGGCCCTCATAAAAATTTGAGGATCTTGCCACTGCTCGGGGCAAGTCTGTGGCAGCCCACGGGTTTTCTGGTTACCTCTCAGCCTCTGTTGCCTCCTGTCTGGTTGGTTTGGGGGAGGGGAGTGGGGCGTTGTGAAGGAGATTTCTCAGCGGTGAAGTAGTGCATACCAGACTTCCAGGATTGCTGGAAGGGTTTGCCCTGGCTAGGGCAACATGGAGTGATGGGGTGAAACCACTCTTACAGGGATGCTTCTCCAAGTGCAAGAGGGGTCCCTTCCTTTACAGAGGGTTTTAGAGTTGCCCACAGCTGTTCTAAAACACAGTGGGATAGAGTTTCTTCCTGGCTGCTCTGCCTAAGGCCCTGGAGCTAAGGGATGTGTGAGCATGACGTCCACTGCTCCCTTTCCAGGGAGTGCAAGTCTTGGTCGTAGCTCCAAGGTGAGGGTGAGGGGGCCAGGCAGCCAGCTAAGCTTACTCACAGGGGACTTAGTAGCCAGCAGCTCAAAGCAGTGTGTACCTGAGGAGTCTCCCTGCATGCTTGTCTGAGCTTGAAAGGACTTTTCCTTTCTTGCCTTAGTTCACAAATACGTAAGAATGTAGAAAAATGTTTTATTTTAAGTGTCTGCAAAGAGTATAGAACAAAATACAAACCACAGCCATTGAATGCTTACTGCCTCCCAGGCCCCGCCTGAAGGTTTTTTTTTAAGGTGTGTGAACTGATTTCATTACAAGACCACCCAACCTTGTGAAAGAAGGGCTCTGGTGATGCCCATCTTACCAAGATAATTGAGGAACAGAGAGGTTGCACCCTGGCCCGAGGCCACACAGCCTGCAAAGTGTACCTGTGGGGTGAAGAGTCCTGAGTATAGGCTTCTAAGTGGAGTGGGACTGCCCTGCTGCCTCAGGGTAATGTCCTCCAGCCCTGTATATCTAGGAGGCAAATCTCATTTCCATTAAAGTATTTCTTGGGCTTGCTTTCCAGAAAGTACGCGGCAAACAATTCCAGGGAGGGCACCTGAGAGCCTGGGAAGAATCGGCTCAGGCCCTGATGCAGACACAGGTGTTGGGGGTCACAATGGCAATGACCGGCTGGTGTTGCTCAGCATTGGCTTCAGCGCCTTTTAAATGGGTCCCTGTGCCCCACCCTGGCCTTATCTTGCCTTCCCCACCCCCAGTGTAAAGGGTCAAGGCTTTACCTGCCTGGTGACAGCTGGAGCTGTGGCTGGCTTGGGAACCACTTGTCCATGCAGCCCTGGGAGGGGCGGGCTATGCTCCCCACACCTGTCTGGCTCGGCCCGGCCCTCCCTGTGTGCACCCAGCCTCGCCCACTGAGTTTTGTGCAGACGCAGGCTGACAACACACCGATGTAGTTACCTCAGTTTATTTGTAAGCAGCCGGGCTGTGTGGGAAGGGGAAAGAAGGGGGCTTGGGAGAGTTCTGTGAAGGGTGATGGGCAGATTTGGACCCAGTTGTGGTGATGGTTGGACAATACAATACAATACACCGGGTGGCAAATGTTTGGTTACATATGTCTTTCCCACAAAGAGAAAATTGTGCACACAATTTATATTTGAAGACAACCCTACTTTTTTGCCTTCCTTTGAAAGCCGGAAGGCGTGAGTGGGGCTAGGGATCCTGAGCAGCCCTTTGGAGCACAGCAAAGCTGCCACCTCCTGCACCACTGCGTGGCAGTGGTGCAGCAAGGATGTCACTGCCTGTATCACAGCGTGGCAATGGTGCAGCAATGGTGCACTTCACCGCAGTTCATTTCCTGCTCCTGCTTCAGTACTTTCTGGAGTTTCTGGCCTGTGAAATCCAAAAGGCTTCCTTGGAAACCCGCCCCAGCCCCTGTGCTCATTTTCTAGTGCTGCTGTAACAGAAGTACCCCAGCTGGATCAGATGAGTCGGACAAACGCAAGCCTATTTTCTCACAGTTCTGGAGGCTCGAGGACTGACTTGGGAAGGCTTTCTCTCTCTGCCAGCTCTGGGGGGGTGGCCCTTGTCGCCTATCAACATCGGTGTTCCTGGAACACGTCCTTGCTTCTTGCTCTCAATCTTCCCCTGTGTCCAGGAGCGTCACAGTGTCTAAAGCAGTGGTTCTCAACCTTCCTAATGCTGTGACCCTTTCATATAGAGTGGTGACCCCCCAAACCATATAATTTTTTTCGGGCGACCCGTGAAAGGGTTGAGAACCGCTGTTCCAAAGGATGCACTCAGCTTCCTGTTTTCTCAAGGGGATGCAAGTCCCGGGCCAGCGAAGCTTCAAATACCCCACCAGGGCCGCCAGTTGAGAAACGGTGTCTATATCCTACCTTCGGCCATCACAACAAAATAACATCCTCCCTGGCATCACCCAACCTGCCTCACTAACGCCTAGACGTCAAGATTCACAACACATCACAAGTGGAGGATGATTACATCTTTACATGACCATCAACCCTCATTTTTCTTTTTTTATAAGATGGTCAAATTCACTAATAATTTATTTCCTTGTGAACTGGTTTTGTTTCTCCATCGTTGATTAGCGTCTTTTGAGGATAGGCACGCTTCTGGAATTGCAGCGTTAACCCTTTGGTTTATTGATGATCCTTTAGCAGGCTGACACAAGCATGTGAGGTCATTATGGAAAACTGCAAACCTCCAGGAAAACAATTAGAAATCTATATCCACCACTTTGATCATACAAATATATAACTATAAATAAATTATTGTGAAATCTAAATAAATAATTTTTATTAAAAAAAAAAAAGAAAACATTGTCCAATCCCAGCGTGTTGAGCATCTTGGAAACAATTTTGTTAATGTCTTCAGCTCTCCAAAGTTGGCAACCTAAACTCCCAAGGATGCTCTCTGCCCTTGAACATGGCCTTGTCCTTTCTTGGGATGATGGGAGGTGCTCGATTTCCTGAGAAGACAACGATGTTTATGCCAAACCAAGAAGGACCCATATACAATACAGTTCTCCCCACTGGGGCTCCCACTGAATTTCAAACCCTCGTCTGTATGTCACTGTCCAGCCACGGAGAATCGTGGCCTAGCCAAGCTGACCGCTTTCCTGGGGCACGACTCGGTCTAGGGGACCCTTCAGTTCCTAGCTACAACACAGGTTGAAACTGAGGAAATTTTTTGATAAGGTGCCTGGGGAATCCTTGGCTCTGCTGTGCCAAAGTAGTACTCACGCTTCCACCCTAACTCCTGCCACGAAGTTGGTTCGGACCCAGGGTGACCCTCCATCGATAGAGTTCACGAGGATCAGGCAACCACGGGCATTGTGAGTTTCGTGGGTCTGCAGAGCCTGTCTGGTATGTTGGGTGAAAGGTCAGAAGATTGAATTGACCTAGCATGGGAGGTGGAAGGTGTACTCCCAGAGGCAGTTTCCCACCCCTACTTTGACAGGTGAGGATTTCATCCCTCTGTCTTCTCCATCGTCCTTGTTAGCTGCCTTGACTTGACCCCTGACACTCCGCTTCCCCAAGCACAATGGAATGAATTGTTGCCCCCTCCTGTGCTGTCCCCATGACTAATTGTGGCTGGAACCCATGTAATCCCCGGAGAGTTTTCATGGGTTAGTTTCTGGAAGGATGTCCCCAGGCCCGTCGCCTGGAGTCTGGAATCTCCGCGGACACCTGGTCAGCATCACAAGCCTCCGCTGACAGATGGACAGGTGGGTGGGAGCTGCATAGGACGTGCCTGGCTGGGAAGTGAACCCCGGTCTCCCCCAGGGAAGGTGAGCATTCCAGCAAGGAATCACAAGTGCGCTGGGCTCTGCGTCTTCATGTACTGATTGGTCCAGAGCGCTGCTGGTTTGGTTCAGAAAGCCTCTGTGGACCTGTGAGGTGCCGCCCAGGCTGCTCCGACAGGGCCGTCTGCTCTCCTCTTCCCAGCCCAGAGCTGAAGGGAGCAAGCGGGCTATTTAATGGACTTCAACGACTGGCAAGCCCATTGAGCCTTGTCAAGTTTTAACTAAGTCTTGTTATTTGTGTTTGGTCTTGATCACAGAACATGTGTGTCAGATGTGGGCCGATGTAGGAACCATTCAAACGAAGTCATTGGAAAAAAAGAGGATTTAAAAAAGATTACCTATCTCAGAAGCTCCGCAGAGATCAGGAGGCCAACTTGGGTTTTGCATCAAGAAATAAGTGACCTTAGAGTTGACTGAGACTCATGTTTCTTTTGTTTTTTACCCTTTTGCACTCCCTAGGGCCTGGGTCCCGATCAATAATTGCTACCTCATGTCTAAAGAAATCCCTTTTTCTGTGAAAAAGACGAAAAGCATCTTCAACAGTGCCATGCAGGAGATGGAGGTCTATGTGGAGAACATCCGCAGGAAGTTTGGGGTCTTTAACTACTCTCCCTTCCGGACCCCCTACACGCCTAACAGCCAGTACCAAATGCTGCTCGACCCCACCAACCCCAGCGCCGGCACCGCCAAGGTGGACAAGCAGGACAAGGTCAAGCTCAGCTTTGACATGACGGCGTCCCCCAAGATCCTGATCGGCAAGCCCATGCTGAGCGGGGGCACCGGTCGCAGGGTCTCCCTGTCCGACATGCCGCGCTCTCCCATGAGCACCAACTCTTCGGTGCACACGGGCTCCGACGGGGAGCAGGATGCCGAGAAGAAGGCCACCTCCAGCCATTTGAGCGCCAGCGAGGAGGACTTCATGGAGAAGGGCACAGGTCAGCCCTGGGTGGGGCCATGGGGGAGAAGCCACCGGAAACATGGGGGTGGGGGGTGGCTTCCCTTGGAACCCAAGGTGTGGGGGGGATCCCACCCAAGGAGGGCAGTCCTGACTATAGCCATAGGAGTTTTGTTTCTGGACAATGCTTACACCAACCTTGAATGTTCTGAACAGGATTCAATGACGTTCAAACAGGGCTGACAGCGGTGCCTGACACCCCACCTGGCTGCTCACCAATTCAAGGCCGAGCATCCGTGTGTGTGTGTGTGTGTGTGTGTGTGTGTGTGTGTGTGTACGAGGTGGGTGGTGAGGGTAAGGAAAATACTGGTGATGGATGTGGAAAACGTCTTTTTGGTTCTGGAGCACCCATAATTTAGTCACATGTTACATGCGTAAAGAATCTCGCCTCTATAAGAAGTAAAGCGTTGGACCGGTCACTACAAGGTCCGCAGTTGAAAGCCAGTCGCTCCTTGGTGGGAAGAAGACGAGGCTGGCCATCTGCCCCTATGAGTCAGGATGGACTCTGTGGCAGTGGACGGGAGGCGTAATGGTTGAGCTCTTGGCTGGGAACCAGAAGATCACTGGTTTGCACCTAGCACTCGTCAACAGGAGAAAGACGAGGCAGTCTGCCCTTGTACCAACTTGCTCTGTTGGAAACCCCAAGGAGCAGCTTGGCTCTGTCCTATAGGGTCACCGAGTTAGGTGGCGAAATGGGTTTGCTCTCAGGTTTCCTGGAGCATTTGTCCTTCACATGGTGTCCTTTGTTTGCTGACCTTTAGAGAAGCTTCCACGCTAAGAAGGAGCAGGTCTGAGGAAAAAACAGCCAACCTCAGGCTGAGAGGGGTGAGGGGTGGGGCCTGGTGAACCAGGGAACTTGTGCACGGGCTCTCCTGGCAATGGCTCCCTCCGGCCCCTGGCTGCCTTCTGTGTGGGCATGTGGACTTAGGGTTTTAGATCTTAGCATTCTTCCAGAGAACTGGGACATTCTAAATTTTTACGTAAAACCTGCTATTTATTAAATGTCACCCCAGCATGAACGTTAGAATATTGTGCAGGGTGAGTGGAACACAGCAACTAGTGGAATTGAGGAGCCCCGGTGGCATGGTAGGTCATACATTGGGCTGCGAACCTCAAAGTCAGTGGTTCTAATCCACCAGCTGTTCCTCGGGAGAAAGACGGGGCTCCCTGCTTCTGTAAAGATTTAGTCTGAGGACCCACAGGCGGCAGTTCTCTTTCTCTTGGGTCACTGAATTGGAACTTGTGGCAGTGGGGCCGGCTGGGCAGAATAGTGACCATGGGTGGTCCTTTGTGCTTTGAGTCCTTTCTTTTTCCTTGTCTCCCTTTCTCTCCTTTCCCAAGGGCAAGCCCCAGTTCTTCAAGGAACCCCAAGTGCAGTGGGAGACTTGGTCAGTTTCCGCAGAGAATCCCATCGATTTGGGTTGGGTGGTTGGCGTGTTGAGTTTCAAGCCCTGCTGCCAGCTGCACCCAGGACGGAGCGGGGTGGGGCATGGGAGTTGGTGAAGCACACATGGCGTGCCATCTTTCAAAACTCAGGCTGCATGCAGTCTGTTTCTCTAGTGCTGATTCCTGGCTCGCGTTGGTTTAGATCCTCAGGGCTGAGTCAGGCCTACAGCGTCCTTCTGGGATTGTCCTGGTTTATGGTGACATCGTTTTCAGAAGCGTCCCTCGCCCTCCTTTGTTTGCTCAGAGCTCCCTTGTTTCCCATCTTGTCACGTGGCTCCCTTTTAACCAACCTGACGAGCCTGTTACCCAGCCGCCCGGACTCCCTGCTGAGCTCAGCCTGCCAGCTCCCAGACGGAGGGTGCTGTTTTATGATGCGGGGCGGCTGGGCCACTCACCTGCCAGCACATTCATCACCTGGCATTGTGCCATGTGCAGCCCAGCTCTCCATTACATACGGAAATATTAGCCCTGCAGCGATGCTTGTTGCAGTTCCCCTGAATGTCCATGAGATTCATAGAAGTAGGGAGAGAAAACAGGGTCCCCGAACCACTGTTGTTTCTCCCGTGCAGCCTTTCCCAAAACAATGCTGTACAGGAGTCTGAGAACATATGACGAATGGATTTAATTCCGCCACGCTCGTCCCCCGGAGCCGTTGCAAAGGGAGAAGTAGACACGCCACCAGCATGCTCTCGCCATTAGCGACGGCTTTTTATATAATAGGCTAGTGGATCCGTGAAATTGTAAAGTCCCCTTTTCCCAAAATAGCATCGTCCCTTGCGAGGATGTGTTGGGTCACTTTGTTTCCCATGAGGTAGAGCGCCGTGGAGTACAGAAGGAGGAGAGAGAGAGGTGGCATCAGCCAGGTGACTGGTTCCATTTCCCATAAGGGACCAGTAGTGAATGGTTTTTCGATTCTGCGGTTCTCTGTCTGCTCCACGGGAGCCGCTTGGTGGTGTCGTGACAACACGTTGGGCCGCTACCCTCCAGGTCAGCTGTTTGAAACCACCTTGGGAGACCGGCAGGGTTTTCTCCTCCTGTGAGGAGTTGTCGTCTCGGACCCCCCACAGGGACAGCCTGCCCGCTCCTTGGTGGTCTCGACAAGTGGGCATCAGCTCGATGCCAGGGAGTTTGGTTTGGGGTTTGGGCTCTTCCACTCTTCCTTGCTGTCTCTGCAGCTCAGAAGCAGCTGAGGGCACTCTGCGTAGCTTTGTTATCATAAAACTGTATTGATGGACACGGACATGTGAATTTCATGAGTGTTAGTTCTTCCTTTGATTTGAGAAACCCCCCACCCCACCCCACCCCAGTTAAAAAATATTAAGAACCAGGTAAGAGTAAAAGAAGCTTCTTGGTCAGCTCCCCCATTTTACAGAAGGCAAGTGCAGGTCCCCGCAGAGACCCCTGAAAAACACTTAGGATTCAAGTGTGTCTTTAAGGCCCACTGGCTTTTCGCCGCACCGTTCTGCCCTCTGCTGGCCCACAGCGGGGAGACAGCTTGGACAGTGAAGGCAGAAGACATTTGCCTAAAGATGAGCGACTATTGTAGTGCCCCAAGTCAGGGCCAAGACCAGGGGCCTTCAAGGGGCTCCGTGGAAAAATTCCTCCATTCACTTTTCATCCCATGTATCCATGAACTGGAGGTGAGACTAGCTTTCCACAGTCTTGTAGAACGGATTCCCTCCTCATGGAAAAACCACATACGTGAGTGTTTAGAAACCTTGCTTTTCTTAAGGACCCAAGGAGCTCAGAGTTGCACGTCTGTAAATCTTTAAAACTGCACTGAGTTTTCCAGTAAGCACTTGGCTTGGGCCTGAGCCTCTCCATCAACATGCCCTTGGAATCCTGCCGCCTTAATGGCCAAAGTGCTTTTTAGTCTCCATGATTTCTCAGGGCCTCTTCCCCCGCACTCGCCCTGGCGGGAATGATGCTTCAGCCGATATTTGCTTGTGGGGAATCCTGATTTAAGTCATGAATATGCATTAACTCAGGATTCCACCTCCCTCTGAGTTAATGGTCCTGTGACCTTGTATCTGCATTAGGAGTTACTGTTCAGGGAAAAATCAGAAACTTTTCCGTTACACTCCCTTTGTGGCTGTGACAGGGACACCACCTACTTGTCATCAAACAGTGGCTGGCTGCGGAAAACTAGTCACACACACAACCATGGTTAGCCCGCAGACAGCCGTCTCAGCATTTGTTTCTGTTTGGCTTATGCATCGTACTGTTCAGTTGGAACCCCTGCTTGGAGGCATCAGGCAGTTAAGGGAATGGTTGAAACGGGGGAGAGTGTGCCAAACTAAGAGCTCACTGTATTAGTCTAGGTGATTTGGAGAAACAAATCCACAGCAACTCATGTATAAGAGAGTTTTATGTAAAGAAAGTGTGCATCACGAAAACATCCCAACCCAATGCTGCCCAAGCCCACAAGTCCAACATTAACCCATTAACCCAACACCAGTCCACAAAGTCCTCCACCTCACAAAACAGAGCCAGTGATGCCGACTGCAGGAGGAAAGCTGAGTCAGTGAACAAACAAGCATCTCAGCACTAGCAGGGGTCTCCACACGGCTGCTCCAGCACCCAGGGCTGCATCGGGATAGGTCCATGTGGCTTCTCCTTGGGGATGTCTTGTAGGAAGTCAATCTTGCAAGCTGAAGCAGGGAACTGCTAAGGCAGCTGCCCCCTGGTGCGACCATCACTAAGCAAGAGACCCGAGAACTAGAAAGGCGAGGCTCACCACCCATGTATCCCTCTGCCTTTCAATTAGCCCCACATGTGATTATCGGCCAGGTTGGCACCATTAACTCACTCCCTCACTTTCCAGACAGGAGGTGTTTGTGACCTGCCATCAGGATTGGGGTGAACTACAGTGTGAGTGTGCATGTGTGAGACTTCCTCAGACAGTGCTTCGCCTTCCGCTGTGTGGGTGCCCTCTGATACTCGTCCCTCGTCGTTCCTGTTAGAAGATGCCCTGTGATGACAGGTGTTGAGCCGCTAACCACAAGGTTAGTGGTTCAAACCATCAGTGGCTCCTGAGAAGAGTGAGGCTGCCCGTTCCTGCAACGATGTAACCTCAGAAGCCCGGTTCAGGCTGTCAGGGGTCAGATTCAGAGGCGCCTGCGTGGCATTAGTGGGTTACTTGTTGGGCTGTCCACCCAGGGTCAGCAGTTAGGAACCCCCAACCCCTCTGCTCGAGAGAGATGAGGCTTTCTGCTATGGTCAAGAGTTACCACTCTGGGAAGCCCACAGGGTCAGTTCTTTGCTACCCTATAGGGTCAAGAGGACTTCAGCAGTTCAGTGACACTTCCGCTCCCATCCTACTCCACATTATCCCACTACCTTCACTTCAAACTCCCTGATCCTTAAGCTTCCCATTCCAAACTTTCGGGGTGCTGCTGTGTCTATTTGATTTCACACAGGCAATTTCTTTCAAAGAGCACAAATGCTTAAGTAGATATGTTTTACTCATAAAAATAAGCTGGTTTGGGTTCAAAGCAGGATTCAGGAAATAGCTTTGGTTTAAGGTTTACATTT